AGACTGTTCTTACTAAAGGCATCGCTGGAATCGGAAAAACCGTCTCCGTGCAGAAGTTTCTGGACTGGGAACTGAAAAAATGGCTTCAGAGTTTTGACTGATTTGATATCAGTTTTCAAATTTTCAGTAGGTCAGCTTTTTAAGGAAGTACTGAAGATTGCAAATAATTAACATAGAGGTAAGAGAACTAACATTGTGAATAAATTAAAGTTCAGACTTCTTAGCCTTTCAAGATACCTCAGCTGTAATGTACTATGTGCTGCGGCACATTTCATAATAATTTATGTATTTTTCATTTATTTTGCAGTTTTACCCATATACTCAGCACAGTATTAAGTTCTATTTCTTGCACTAGCTGAGAGAGAGCGCGCTGCACAAGCGACTGCCATGCGTAGAAAAGTTAAAAATGCTTCATTAATCACTTGCACAAACCAATACAGCACACAGTGACTAAAGAGAAAAAATCGTAATCTTAAAGATAATTCATAGTGTTTAGAGACGCAAAACTCCACTCCCTGTGGATGTGAAGTATATCCTCAAAGAATAGCAGAAGCAGCATTCTAGTTCTCTGAAATGTAGCCCAACAGAACACAGTTCATAACACAGCATTACAGTTTGTGTTGATCAGGCCCATCCATTATTTTTCTTATTTCTGAACTGTTCCTGACAGGTGACTGTGCACTGTTTCTGCTGAATATTTGCATATATATATATATATATATATATATATACACAGTGTTGGGCTAGTTACTCAATTAATGTACTATATTACTCATCACTATTTACTCCTTTCAAAAGTAATATTGTTACTTTACTTATTACTTTCTGGTAACAGTAATTAGTTACACTACTAGTTACATTACTTTTTCTTCACGCCCCAGAATGTTCTAGAATGTTACTAACAACATATTTCTGCCTCATCATCGACCTCCTTAAACCAAAAGTGAAAGCGCACACTCTCGAAAAACAAACAAACAACGTTTTTGATGACATCTTACCAGAACCTAGAAAGCCATCACATCACGTAAGTTCCTTAAAATGTTGTCAAATAGTAATGATTTTGTTTAAAGAGAGCCACATGGTCTATAAATATATAATTTGTCAAGCTACAGACCATACATGGCAAAAATGTATCGTTTTTTGTAATGCATTGGTTGTAAACAGACACATGCATGGCTTAAAAATGAATACTCTTTACATGAAGTTAATACTTTCTCTAGAAAGGAATTTTCGAAATGATATTAAAGCACTTAAGTTTGATTTGAGTCTGTACTTTGTGCCAGTGCCATAACAATAAACACAGCAGCAAAATGAAAGAATTTTACAACAAAACCCAGTAACATGAAACTACATGCACAGATGTTTTGGGCACTGATAAAACATCTACTGTAATGCAATTAAATATTTGTCTCTCAGATGTGGCTTGCATATAATATTTGATGAGAATTCATAGCTACTACCTTCATTGAAGCAAGCTTTTTGCTTCCAGATGATAGTTATGTAGTTCTGTAACTGTAAAGTAATTGTGTATAATAGAGAATTGGTAAAGAATTTGGTCAAGTGTAAGTTTTAGTTTACAGATTTTTTTTTAATAATGTGTGAAAATTTGATGTATCTTCTATGTATTGTGTTTCCCTAAACAGATCACTGATTCTGGAAAGAAAGGCGGGAGGCACTGCCTCTACAATGAGTCTTCACGAGGAGAGAGATGATCAGACTCAGACAGCAGCGTCTGCAGTGTCCAGCTGTGTGTCTTTGAAGAGTACTGACTCCATGAGTGAACCTCCTGGAATGAGTGATGAATCAATGACCTCTGACCCAAAGTAAGATGCTACATAACAAACACAGTAACACAGAGATTTTAATTGAATGGCACTTTTATTCATATATTAGAAATCCATTATTTGGCTTAATGAATTGTTAGTATAAACAATGCCTGTTCCAATGGTTCTGTCATAAAAGATGAACAGAAAGACACAATATTTATTTAAAATGAGTTTAAGATAAGGATAACTGTTTTCTCTTTGCACTGCAATTGAAAACGATAGAAGGGATAATAGACCTTGCTATGTTGTCATTTCTGGACAATGTATTGTTTTTCAGTGCTCTTTTTTTTTTTTTTACCTTTCTCTCGTTCAGTTCATAGCGAGGCTTGCCCAGTCAGGTTGATTTAAATTGCTTTTGTGCTGCTGTGCATTGGAGACCAGTGATGGGGAAAGTTACTTTTAAAAGTAATGCAATACCATAATGCGTTACTCTATATAAAAGTAACTAATTGTGTAACTTATTTACTTTTTATGGAAAGTAATGCATTACATTACTTTTACGTCAGTTACTTTTTTGTCAACTGTGCTGGGCTTGTTTATTTGTTTTTAATATAAAAAAACAGCGA